GGCTCCCCGCTTATGCTAATGAAGCCCGGGAAATTCAAATCCCGGGCTTCATTAGCAAGTGCGGTATGCATACATTACCCCGCTAGTTTGAACTAGTAGGGTAGTGTAGACATACCCCTTGAGATTCTTCCATCCCAAGTGCAGAACTCTGCACTTGTCATTGTTGAACCTCATCAGATTTCTTTTGGACCAATCCTCCAATTTGTTCAAGTCACTCTGGACCCGATGCCTGCCTTCCAGCATATCTACCTCTTCCCCTAGCTTAGTGTGATCTGCAACCTTGCTGAAGGTGCAATCCATCCCCTCAGCCAGGTTATTACTAAAGATATTGAATAAAACTGGTCCTAGAACCGAACGTTGGGGCACTCCGCTAGAAACCGACCGCCATCCTGACATCGAGCCGTTGATCACTACCCACTGGGCCCAACTTTCTAGCCAGCTTTCTATCCATCTTACAGTCTATTTATCCAATCCATATTTCGGGGATGTCTACACTACAAAGTTAATTTGAAATAGCGCTGTAGTATAGACATACCCTAACTTAGCTTGCTGGCAGGAATACTGTGGGAGATTGTATCAAAAGCTTCGCTAAAGTCAAGGTATATCACATCCACTGACTTTCCCATGTTCACAGAGCCAGTTACCTCATCATAGAAGCTGATCAGATTGGTCAGGCACGACTTGCCCTTTGTGAATCCATGCTGACTATTCCTGATCACTTTCCCTTCTTCCAAGTGCCTCAAAATGGATTCCTTAAGGATCCCCTCCATGATTTTTCCAGGGACTGAGGTAAGGCTGACTGGTCTGTACTTCCGTGGAGTGTCCTTCTTTCCTTTTTTGAAGATGAGCACTACATTTGCCTTTTTCCAATCTTACGGGATCTCTCACGATCTCCACGACTTTTCAAAGATAATGGCCAAAGGCTCCTCAATGACATTTGCCAACTCCCTCAGTACCCTCGGATGCATCAAGTCCGGACCCATGGATTTGTGTATTTTTAGCTTTTTAAAATAGTTCCTATCCTGTTCTTTCCCCACCAAGGGCTGTCCACCTTCCTCCCATACTGCATCACCTAGTACATTAGTCTGGGAGCTGACCTTGTCTGTGAAGACAGAGGCAAAGAAAGCATTGAGAACTTCAGCTTTCCCCACATCATCTTTCACCAGGTTACCTCCCTCATCCAGTAAGGGCCCCACAGCCTCTCTGATCACCTTCTTCTTGTTAACATGCCTGTAAAAACCTTTCCTGTTACCCTTCACATCCTTTGCTAGCTGCAATTCCAACTGTGCTTTTGCCTTCCTGATAACTCGCTTGCATTCTCGAGCAATATATTTATACTCCTCGCTCGTCATCTGTCCAAGTTTCCAATTCTTGTAAGTTTCCTTTTTGTGCTTAAGTTCACCAAGGATTTTCCGGGTAAGCCAATCGGGGCTCCTACCATATTCGTTTTTCTTGCTGTGCATCAGGAAGGTTTCTTTCTGTGCCTTCAATAAGGCTTCTTTAAAATACTGCCAGCTGTCCTGAACTCCTTTCCCCTTCATGTTAGCATCCCAGGGGATTTTGCCCATTAGTTTTCAGGTCTCTGAGAGACTCAAAGTCTGCTTTTCTGAAGTCCAAGGTGTGTATTTTACTGATCTCTTTCTTCCTTTGGTCAGGATTCTGAAATCTTCCATCTCATGATCACTGCTTCCCAGGTTGTCACCCACCTCTTTCCTCTACTAGTTCCTCCCTGTTTGTGAGCAGCAGATCAAGCTGTGCATGACCCCCAGTCAGTTCTTTCAGCACATGTACCAGGAAGTTATTTCCAACATTCTCCAAAATGTTCCTGGATTTTTTGTGAACTACTGTATTGGTCTTCCAACAGATGTCAGGGTGATTAAGGACCCCTATGAGAACCAGGGCCTGAGATCTGGAAGCTTCTATCAGGTGTCCAAAGAAAGCTGCATCTACCTCATCTACCTGGTCCAGCAGCCTGTAGCAGATACTAACCACATTACTGCTAATGTTAGAACCTCTAAACTTAACCCATAGACTCTTAACAATGATGTTAATCCCATCTGCTAGCTTTCTTTGATAGGATAATGAGTCTTGTAGATAAGTGAGAAGCGGTAAATGTGGTATACCTACACTTTAGTAATGAATTTGATATGGTCTCACATGATCTTCTTATCAGCAAACTAGACAAATACAAGTTAGATGCGACTACTACAAGGTGGGCGCATAACTGGCTGGATAACCATTTCCAGAGAGTAGTTATTAATTGTTCACAAACCTGCTGGAAAGTTATAACAAGTGGGCTTCTGCAGGGGTCTGTTTTGGGACCGGTTCTGTTCAATATTTTCCTCAACGATTTAGATATTGGCATAGAGAGTACGCTTATGAAGTTTGCAGATGATACTAAGCTGGGAGGGGTTCCAACTGTTTTGGAGGATAGGGTCATAATTCATAATGATCTGGCAAATTGGAGAAATGGTCTCAGGTAAACAGGATGAAGTTTAATAAAGACAAATGCAAAGTGCTCCACTTAGGAAGGAACAATCAGTTTCACATTTAGGCTACGTCTACATTGGCAAGATTTTGCACAAAAGCAGTTGCTTTTGTGCAAAATCTTGCCGCCTGTCTACACCGGCCACGAGTGCTTGCGCAAGAACACTAACATTCTAATGTATAAGATCAGTGCTTCTTGCGCAAATACTCTAATGCTC